CTTCCCACGTGGATCTGCCCAACGGGACGCTCCTGCACCCACTTGTGTGCCCTGGCCAGTGGTCAGCTGTGGCCGCCCTGAAGTTGTAATCACTGAAAACCCAACGTGGGATTGCGTGAGGGTTCTAGTGGGTCTTCCTTGGTCTTCTGTCCTTTGTCTTCTCTCTGCTCGGTCTCTCTTCCTTCATTTATTGGCTCTTCATATCATTTGACCCTCCTACGTGTCCCTTTTCCCTTCTCCCTCCTCCCTCCTGGTATTAGGAATCGGGCTTAGGAGCAAGACCAAAACCCAAAGATGCTGCCCCGAGCGTGGAAACGATTCGGTGGGTGTCTGTGCACCCCCTCCTCACGGCAAAGACTTCAGGCGGCCGTGAGCTCAAGAAAATTCAAGCCCAGTAGCTAAGCACCAAGAGCACTGTGCATTTCATTCCCACCGCACCCAAGAAGAGCTAGGGCTCAGTGTTGGCCCTGGCGGCTAATGAGGACCTGGGCTCAGGGCCCAGAGTCCGTGGGAGGAACCCGTGGTGACGTTGCAGACTCAGGGTGCCCTCTGCACCTGTCTGCGCTGGCTGCACGGTCCCTGCTTTCCAACCAGAGGGCGATGGGCTACAACGGCTCACGTGCACACGTCTACGGTGCCACGGAAGCACGGGGTGTGGCATCCGAGGAAGCAATGTTCTGGCCAGACACACAAGATGGTTGTGGAAGATCCTCCACGGGTGACCCGGAAGCCGGCGGCCGGGGCAGCAGCGCGCACTAAGAACGAGACCGCAAGCCATGAGGCTGCCATCACCGGGACGACCCACAAGTCTAAGAGACGCAAAGGGTAGGGGAAGGGACGCTGACGGTTGGCGGGATGGATCGTTTGCAAGAACAACTTGAGAAATTCTCCAGGAATACAGAAAAACAAAGGCCAAAGACTAGAGGTTAGGAAAGGGCAGGTGTGAGAAGGAGATGGCGGTAAAATCAGAAGAGAAAGAAGAATCAGAAAGGAACAGAAGCAACGCTGTCCAGGTAGAAAAAAAGAGCACGTCGTTCACCTTAAACTGATAGTGTTGTAAGTCAGTGATGGGTCCACCCAGCTGGGAAAGCAAGCCAAAGAGCCAAGATACAAACAAGCTGATGAAGAAATGAATCGACTTTCCCCAACTTCTGAAAGATGGTGCAAAACCTCACCTCTCACCCGGATCTCGAGA